TTTTGGAAAAAAATTGTTCAGCATTTTGTGACTAGCTCTAATGAAGAAGGAGCTAAACAAAATCGGATGAAACTTTGCTAGAGAAAATGATTTGGGGGTTGCTTTTATTCTAATACCCCATTCACACCCACCACCAGCCAAATTAGCTGTTTCTTTTGATTTTAGCAAAACAGATTAAAATCTCCTCAGAGTGAGAAAACTCAACTCAAATAGTCCTAAGGCAAGTCACATCCCAACAGACTTTCCACTGCTCCAAACAGTTCCTTTCCACAAGTCTTTACTGGGGCCATGGCAGAGGATAAGAATAACTTTTGTCTCAACCACAGTCATAGCATGGGACTATACTTTTATCCACATGACCGGTATTCCTCACAGATGCTTTAGCCTCCTTCCTTATTGCTTTATTACTCAAAGGTCACCGGTAATCTGTGGACACCCCCTATGATTAATTAATTGAGGCAAGAAAAAAGCTGGAACAAAACTATATGGTTAATACAGAATATTATCCTTTTCTTAGGTATAACATTGCTCAATGCCAGAAAAGTGGCTGCTGTTCAACTTCAGCTTTGATTTTTTCATTGGTCTTTTGTTTCATCAACTCTGTAAGACTATTTTCACTTGCATCACACTAACAAATAGTATTGGAATATATTGTGCCCATCAGTACCCACCATTATTTTATTGAAGACCAATAAACAGCACAAGGAAAATGTAAAATACCAAATATACATAGCAGTTCAACATATTGAAGGGCCTGCCCCAACTCCCATTAACATCAATGAAGAGACAACCACTGATCTTACTGGGAGTCAGTAAGTCCCAAATAGGGTACAAGCCGAAGTTACATTGAAATTTCATATTCTGTAAAAGTCAATATACAAATGTCCCCATGACCTCAATATGCAGAAGAACGTTCACAGGTTCAAACTCAGATCTCAACATAAACCAAATATGCTGGTAATATTTCAGGGGTGACCATTATACTATCATCCCCTCCTCTGCATAGTGATGTGAAGGTCTGGGTATCAAGGGCTTGCCCTGGAGAGGTGCTGATTATCTCCATCTCCCACTGTAGTCAATTTCCATCAGTGGAGTTCACAAAAGATCCAAATGCAGTAAAAAAACCTGCCCTCCTCTCATTTGATTGCAAGCAGTGCTGAGCACTCACAGTTTCCATTAACTTTAATGAGATTACTGGGTTCTCAGCACCAATCAGAATAAACAAGAGGGCAGAAGATGTGATTCCTGCATCAGGATCTTTGGAGATCATCAATGGATATGGATAAGGATTCCAGAATGCTACTCATAGATGCATTTTCACCTGTTTGATAATGAAGCCTTGCAACAAATCTATCAGACTCCTTCAGAGTCAATTCAGCCGTTTCCCCTTGCTAAAGGGGAAAAGTAAGCCATCTACACCTACACATGGAGCACATTACATTCCCATTCACACTGTCTCATCTCCGCTGACCAGCATACTGTGGAGGGGTTGGGATAAGAGCCAATACTCAGATTACTGCTGGCTCCATCCCAGCCACCTGCATGGGAAGGGACCTAGCAGCTCTGTGGCAGCTTTCTCCTCTCACATACAAACTGGTGATGAAAGTAACATACAGAGAGAAGTAAAGAGCTGCCTTGCACCCCTTTCCCTTGTGCAGGTGTATAAGGCAGGCCCTATGTAAATTTGCATTATACCTTTATGCCACATGGTGAAATTTCATATTGTTTTGCTGAGATGCACATAGGTGATTCTTCTCTAAGCAAAAATGTAAATATTTAAGGCATGCATAACGTTATTTTCAGGCTGCAAAAAGTTTGAGGAAAAGGGAGATAAAGAGTGAACAAATGACCTTTTAAAAAATTTGTTGGCCAACAGTTTTAATCCGCAGGGGTTTAGAGTTAGGCACCTACATCATACTTAGGCACTTAAATGACAGTGACCTGGTTTTTAGAAGTGCTAAGCTCCAGCAACCCCCTTGGAGTCAATAGGAGCAGCAGATGCTCAGCATCTTTGAAGGCTGGTTTTTTTAGGTACCCAAGTCACAATTTAGGAGCCACATTTTAGACATCCTGGTTTGAATGTGTTGGTTGCCGTTGTTTCTCTTCCTGTAGGCATTGACATGGCACTCTTCACTATGGTCTTCAGCACCTTGCAAAGAAGAGTCTCAAAATGCAGCAAGATCTAACAGTCTGATATTAAGTACATAAAATATAAAGAATACCAACCACATTTCTTGGCTCAGGAGCATCATCAAGGCCACACAATGAATGCTAGTGAGAAAAACAAAAAAAGGAACAAAAACTATAAAATAAGATCAAAAGAAAATGAGAAAAAAGAAAAGAAAAAAGATGTAAGATATGTAATAAGGAACTCAGTGACATTATTTTACAGTTGTTAGCCCCAATTGAATTGACTTGTAAAGTATATACAGCATTCTGGGGTTTTTCTTCTGATTTTACACTGAAAACAGACAGCAATATGTAAAATTCAATACTTGATGGTAACTTTGCAAACTGTAACACCCAAAGATTATGAACTCTACATTTAAGCAATATGAGCCTGGGCAATGAGACCTGAGCACATGCTTAAAGTTAATTATGTTCTTAAGTGCTTTCCTGATTCAAGACCTAAATAGTCACAGGTACAAATGAATGGAAGTCAAGGTGTAAAAAAATAATTATGATAACAGGTTGGTGCAAGCTTAAACAGGAAATACCCCTCAGATATTATCTGATGGAATACAAAACAAGTTTTGATACATATTTTTCTCTAGATATATATTTTTTGTGGAGTCTCTTCATTGTTGAGTAGGCAGGCTGGCATTCCACAACATTGTTGTGTATAATCTTAAGGAAGGAGACAGATTGGCTGAAGAATCCAAAGTGCAAAAATGCTAAATTACAAAAACGGAAAGTCAAGTGACAAAGAAACCTACCCCCAAGCACAGACTTCAGGAATAAATTACTACTGTGTCAAAAATGTACCACTTCACTTGACAGCAAATTCATTATGCTCAGTGTCATCTGCATGCACAAATCACACTGCATTCACTGACATGATAAATTTCCAGTAGAATAATGAACTAGAATTGATGCCATTCATTGATTCACCGGCTGCTTGACCTTCTCTGGGTGCAGTCAAATGTGGAATTTAATACCTCAGTAGCCCACAGAAGAAAGTCAAAATACAGCTTAGTGCGCACACACATGCACAAACATCAAACTGTTAGAAATGCTGTACCAATGTTATATCTGCAAGTAGTCACAGAAGCAGTGTCCAGTGACAGAAGCTGGAGATCACAAAAATAATTCTGTAGGGAAGAGTGGGCAATCACTGGCAGTAACAATGCCATTTTATGCCAGATAGAGGGAAGTCCCCCAAAGAAGATGGCTCTCAGGGTTGGGAAATGTCATGCAATAGTAGTACAATATGGGAACATAAATAAATGTAACCCGCTACCAACATTCTGCCAAGTGAATGTGGTTAAGCTTTTTCTCTATAACCTCTTTTGATACTTTCCTTCATTCACTGTCTTGGCAAGTCAGCATTGACAACATCCATCTAAAAAATAGCAATCTCCCTCTTACATCTGCTTTATGAACTATAATTATTTTGTGCCCATGGATTAATAAAATATATTTTTGTCAGAATTCATCTCTTCATATTAAATATTAACATCAAGCTCATTCTAATATTGTGGAATGACCTTGGAGTGGATACTATGGAAAAGCCAACACTGGCGAATAGTTCCAATGTAGTGATAGCTGAAATACCTCAGTGTTACTTCTGTACTTAGGTTAGATGTTAACTATGTTGTCTCAGACATCACTGATTTGAAAAGAAAATATTTGCCAATAGTTACCATAGAGATCAAAACCCCTTGTGAAAAGCATTTCCTGCCCACCTAGAGAAGAACAAAGCGAGGAATAGAGAGAAAGAGCACCACTCCAGGGACCGAGAGGAGGGTAATGCCCTATCCTTTCTCTTAATGCAGCATGTTAAAACCAACCCAGGGGTGAGTCCTGGTAATTCAAGTAGGAGTCACGGTACCACTACAGATGAATGTCTAAATGAAAGTGGCACCTCACTCCTCTAGGTTTGACTGCTCAGTTTAATCTCTGCAAAAGAGCTAAGTGTTTGCTTTTCTAAAGGACTTGTGTATATGGCACAAATGCATTTTTATAGACTTTACTTATCTGAAAGCCCCTTTTATTATAGGTGGTGCTGGCGTTACTGCCTATTATTAAGGTTGCCCAACACTTACCATTATAAGACCCTGTTTTCTGTTGCTTACAATTTTTAATCATTTGAGTTGAAGTTCCATGCCAGTTGTCTATCTCAGGGAAAATGGGGTTTTTTTGGAAAATGTCAGCCAAAATGGTTGTACTTGCCAAAAATAAGGCTAGGGGGAAATACATGGTTTTGCCCATGTTATAAAATTTGAGACCTTTTCTTCTGAATGCTCTAGCACCCCCATGCTTCAGGGGAGGGATGACATTTGACAAATCAAACCATAGAATTGCAAGTTGGGCACCCAGAAAATGAGGAATAGACACTAAGTGTCCACCTCTGAAAAGTTTGGTTTAAATGACTTGCCCAGCAACACATAGGAACTCTGTGGCAGAAGTGGGGATAGAATCCAATTCTCCAAGGTAGCATTCAACTGCCTTCACCATGAAACCATCCTTTCTCTTCCTGTACATGTCTGCCTCATTCACTACATGCCTTCCATTTTCTAAAACAAATGAGGCAGGAATCCTCAGGGACAACAGCCTCCTTTACTACCCACCCCTGATTCATCCCCAGTGCAGGTCCATTCTGTACACTGAGTCCTGTGGGGAAAATAACTGTGATTATGTAATTCAAGACTGTATTGTCATGAATACCCACAAGAGGGCCTAATTAAAGTTGCAAATGCTATCTTAATTCTGGTGCGTCCTAACTTTTGCTTGTCTTTGCAACTTTAATAATTCTAGTAACATAATTGTATGTGTTTGTGTTATCTAAATAGTGTCATGTCCCATGAGCTGGGAACCTGACCATGTTTCAGCCAATAGGGTGTGTCAGATAAGTGAGGTTTGGCAAAGGGACTCTCAGTAAACTTCTCCAAGTCCAGTTGGCACAGCAAGGCTCAAGTGATTTAACTGAAGTAGTTTTAGCTAAAACGATTTAGCTGAGAGCCAGTGCTAAAGCACCTCAACACTCCATCTTCCTGCTGAGTCCTCCAGAACTAGTTGTCTACAATCAGGGGAGCCAGGAGGCATTGAAGCCTGCAGTCCTGAGACCCCATGTGTCTGGCGACCCCACTGACACAAAGCTTTTGGATGTCATCTGAGACCATATGAACTTCTTCAAAGCATGGCGGCGTTTGAACCTAGGGTATTGATTTGGGACATATCTACTCCTAAGCAAGGAATATACCCTACCTCCAACATTCATCCCATACAATATGAAGTCTGCTCCTTTCCCATTCTCCATTAACTATCTGCTTCTAAAACAACTTGAGCAATTGTTCATACCCAGGTTACCCTGATGTTAAAATTACTTCAGTGTTGCCAAATGTAAACCTGTTGTCTAGTTTTCTGCCTGTAAATTTGTGCACCTCTTTTATCTGGGCTATTCCCCCCCTCCCCATCCCTTCTACTCTACATCTTTTTTCCGACCTTCTACTTCCTTTCCATATCTGACATACAGCTAAAAACAAGGTGGCAAAATAATAACCGTGTGCAGATTAGAAAAAGTTAATACTCACATGCTCTTTTAGTTTATATAGTGCATTGGCTATGGAAAGAATAGGCTGCATGAACCACAGAGGGCCAAATTCTGCTATCCATAAAATAAGGGGGAAGACCAGTTTTGTGCTATAGGACTATGAGTAAAGACAACTGGTTGTATTCTCAGCTTTGCCACAGACTTCTTTTGTAAACTTGGGGAAATCAATTAGGGCGTGAATCTATAGGATCCTATGACTTCAGTGGAAGTCCAGGGCATATAATAACCTGGCTTCAGAATTAGGACCTTAATCTCTTGAGGCCCAGTTTTCAAATTTGTGAGCCTAAAGTTAGGCACCTGAATATCCACTTTACAATACAGGTTTTTTAGTGTTTAAATATAGATTTGGTTTCCTTATTTTGGGCAAACACACTTGAAAACAGGCCTACACTGTCATAAGATGGGGACAAGACGATTTCCCTACCTAACAGGTGTGGTCTGAGTCATTCAAGTTTATGCCTCACTGAGCCCCTCAGACTAAAGGTGCCATGAAGCCAGTGGGGTTGCTCAGGTGTCCGGAGTTTCCCCAGAACATATTTATGGTAACTGACTATTTCTTAAATCTAAATTAAAGGACATTCATATACTAGTCCATGTTAGTCAGATTTTTTTTTTCCAAAACCCAGTTAGTGAAAATATAATCAATGGGTATTCTGAGCTGGGTTTCTCTCAATATGTAATGATGCAAAAGGTTTGTACTCATACCCCAAAGTGCATGACAATTCTTTGTTAATTCGGAAGTTTCTTTGAAATCTGAATTAGAAAAGTTTACATGTGAATATAGGTAATCCAGACCTAGTGACAACACGTGACATTGCACTTCCACTGTGCACTGGAGCTTCCTGAAAGCAGCTGCAGAAAACTGTACATTGAAAGGAAAGTGGGGTTAAAAAAAATGATGGGCAGTTTGCAAACTTAGTGCTTATATTGGATCTTCCATGCAGAGAAATGATACCTCTGGAATTTAAGGACAAATTCTGTGAGATTAGAAGGCAATATTACAGGATAAAACTCAAGTATGACTATTGCTCAGCACATTTACCTTTTCCTCTATTTCTTTGAGTTGCCGCTTTTGAAGTTCTATTTTATCTTCTAGCTCTCGAATCCGCTACAACAAACAGGCAAAATAGAACGTAAAATGTTTGCAAAAACTAATATTTATCCAGGAAAATGTAAAATAACTTTTAAAAACAATGGATGAAAAGATACTCATTAATGTGTTCAGGAGTCTTATACACACAAAATACTGTGCACAGTTTAGGTCAGATACTCGCCTGGAGTAAATTAGCATTGCTCCACTGAAATCTTTGTCTCATTGACTTCAATGGCGTTACGGTGATTTACAATAGAAGTGGATCTGGCCCGTTCTGTTTATTAGCAGAAACGCCCAAGCATTAGAATATGGGCTTTCCCCATCACCATATTGCCAGTTATGTACAGACAAAGGGCAAGATTGGTACCAAAATCTTGTAGCTAAGAGCGAAATGACCTTTTCCAGGATTATTGGGGGGTTTTCCCTTACCCGGCTAATTTCTAGTGGATACTATTTTACTTCACTTTAATCCCCTTTCTCTCTTTCCTTTACAACATAGCTATTCTTTTGGGGGTACTCATGTGATATCAGTAGAAGATGTGAGCAGATCTGGGCCTGCGGTCATTCCTCACAGAGTCTGAGAGGATCATCTTAACAATGCTCTGAGGAACTTGCCTGAGCAGGAATCCTGAGAAAAGTTAATCCTAGTAAGGACCAGTTCCAACTCCCACCGAAGTCAGTGGAAAGGCTCAATGGGAGTTAATTGGGCCATAAATGATGGTGCAGTTCTTCCTACTTTTAAGTAGGCTTCAAAGAATTAGATGTTTATTGGTAAATGTCAATTTCACAATACACACACACACACAAATGGACAGATATTAATCAAAATGTATAGATAGGCAAAATAAGAAAAATGCTTCTTGGGAACTTAATAGAGTTTGATTTAAGTATATTTATATTGTATATTTTGAGAGTCGATGATGACTATTTGTGTTTTTAATGGTTATAAAGCTTTAATTTTCTGAATCTCAGCATCTACTGTCATTAAATAGTTATTGTGTTTCCCCAACTCCCTGATAATTTCCCATAATGGTGAAAATTTAAATAGATGAAAATTTTAAAAGTACTTACAAATAAATATTGACATGAGTCTTTAAAATTATAAAAAAATAAAAAATGAATTCTGCCAACCCTACCATTAAGAATGATCTTACGATTTGTTACCAGAAAGGGTTCCTAAAATGACAAGTGTTGGCTCTACATTTCCTACCTTCCTTCAGTCCTTTTTTCCCCTGTATATAAATCACATCCCTTCATTTGCTTTTATGTATTTCTAGGCCTCCTAGAGTGGGTATTATATTATGTTTTTAGTATATTGTGTTTGGCTTAATTACAGGCACTTTGCTCTGAGTGCTTTGCTTGTGGGGTCCTATATAAATAACATTAAATTTAATCTGTCATGTTGCCCAATCACCTAGCATTGTTCAATCCTTCTGAAATTGCTCACAATCCTCTCTAGCCTTTATTAGTCTTATATGACATACAATAATTGAACCTTTTCCCACCTCACTATCCACCCTTTCTTCTAGCTCAATGGTAAATATAATAAATAACACTGGTCCTAGTATGGAATCTTGGAGCAGGTTTGAAAATGTTGTCCTTGGGCTGAGGAAGAGTTGAAAGACAAGCACAGCTTTCTTCGCTCTGACTGATTCATCAGAAAAGGGACTTAAACTGAACTTTATTAACACAAGGAAGATTCAAAAACAAGATCAAAGCAACTCAGAACATAGGTTTCAACCAGCAGAGGCCTTTCTAGCTTTCAGCAAGTTGGCCAGGGAGAGCACAAGCCCTTCCTTCTCCTTTTACTTTTATAGACCATCCCAGATCACCTATGTGGTAAGCAGAGAGCCTGGGCTCTCCTAATAACCCCTGAGAATTTGGGATTCAGGGAGTAACTTTATATCTTTTCACAGGTAGAGAAACTTCTCCTCAGCCTCTTCTATAGCTAAATTTGGTTTTGCTAACATAGATCTGAAGGCCAGAAAGGATAATTATAATAATTTTGCATAATACAGATCAAAGAACCTCACCCAATAACTTCTGTCTCAAGTTCATAACTTCTGTTTGCCCTAGAGCAGATCTTTTAGAAAGATATCCATCCTTGATTTAAACAGTTCGAATGATGGAGAACCTACCACATCCCTAGGTACATGCGACAGTCCCAGGGAAGAAACAAGTATAATGATAATACAGAATTGTCTTGAGAATCACAGAAAGATGGAGTTATACATTTCAAATCCAGAGACAATGCTCCAAAGTTCAGGTGTTTTCACATCTTGGCCCATCTCTATTTAGTCTTACTTTAACATGCCACTTTGCAAACAGATATTTCATGGAGAAGTGGTCAGCTACAGCTTCTACAGATGCACAGTGTTGTAAGTTTCTATATCATTACTGGTTTTGAATGTTGTGTGATTGAAATATAGTCAACCAAAATTCCTGTTGTATCATGCTGAGCCAGAGAGACACAGACGGATGTTCAGAGTTATTCCCAAAATAATTAATACAGATATACAATCCAGATTGCTATCATGTGAAAGTAGCATGTGTACCTTTGACAACAGTAATAAATGCCTGGAGCAGAGCAGAATTAATTTCACTCATCCCCATTAGATCTGGATTAATAAACGCTTAATCTATTTCTCACTTGAGACATATCTAGCTATCAAATGATCATTTTTCTATATATTGCAGGGATTTGGCTGTCACCATAAGCAGCCCATGTGATGAGAAACAGTTAGCAAATGTAATCACCTTTGAGATTATGAATACATGATAATGTTTCCCTCCATGTTATTTTAAATTATGTTTTGTTGATTCCCACTTACAACCATATCCCAAGTTTGAGTGACAGACTGTTTAATTCCCTGCACTGCCTGTCTGTGGTCTTTGTGATAGAATTTGACCATGCTGAGATAACTAGAGGGGGGCGAGAGGAATTGAAATATCCTTTTGTCTCTCAAGAACTATCATGTGGACTCTTTTTTAATATATCCTTCAAACTTGTCTCCCTATAGAACTATGTCAGAACTTTAAAAGAACACCTTATTGACCCATTTTTTTCTAATCTTAGAGGAAAACCCCAAGCACTGTAGCAAATGCTTTATATAAAAGAACATTTTTATTAGGACTGATGAGAATTTTTCAAATTTTGACAAAATTTCAATATGGGAAGAAAATCAGGGCAATTTTTGACTAACTATTTATGAAGCTTTCTCCCTGTTTTTTAACCAGCTATAGTCCTGATCAAATTTTTTCTAATTAAATTGTCCTCTTATACATTAAATCATTTTAAAGTTGCATAACAAATAAGTAATATGATGGAGCCAAACATCAACCAGCTCATGTTCTACTGTTCAATGTAATCACCTCCAATTAAAATACTGAATTTCTCTTTTAGACTTTTTACTTGTGTTGTGTGCCTTTACTTGCACTTGGTGTGTTTTCTAAGCATGTTAACATTAAGAATGAGTCAGCATAATATATAAAGCATGACAAAATAAAAGATGATGGTTTGAATGTGATAGGAGTTAAGTTAAGGTTCACATATAGAATGGACAATTGTCCACGCCGGCTATGTGCCCAAAAGGTATATTGAGAAGTAGCTTGTGCCTCTGTGGGACCGATTGTTTGTATGTGTATTAGATTTTTTAAAATACAAGCAAAAGCCTTAGAGAAGAGAGCGTTTCTTCCCAAGACAATAACTTTGTCCCAGAAAGGGCTCACGAGGACTGTTCAGTTTATGTTGTGCACATGGATAGGTAGGATTCTCTTTTCTGATTGTGCAAAGGGGAGCTCTTTTGGTGATCTTTTAGTTGGACTGGTCATATGACAATTCTGCCAACCCAGGGTTCCCAATGAGCTGATCCAGAATTTGGTTATTAACAACAACATATTGCATTTCTATATTGTAACAGTTCACACTATCAAGCTGCTGTAGCTGCAGTTTGTATTATAGAGGCTTTGTAGTCTATTGATTAAAGCAGGTAGCAGCTGTTTAAAATCCTGTCGTGAGTTCTAATTCTACCACTCAACCACTCTGTGACTTTGGGCAAGCTGTTTATCCTCCCTGAGTCTTTGCATTTCCCATTGTAAAGAAAGAATAATAATAATGTCCTACTTGAAAGTGGTATTGTGAAGATTAGTCTATCTACATTTGTACAGCAGTTTCATAGTGTGAACTGTTAGGTGATCTGGTCTATTCTCTTTCAGTGCAAGGATGTTCTCTGCAGTACACTGAAGATCTACTGTGACAATTATTCTTTTAATATAACTTTGTATAAGGGAGGAATATATCCACAAATCACACTTGTATGCTTTTGGACTATTCAAACAGCATACCAGCTACAGTAGAGCTTCGGTGTCCTGAATTCACTCCAAGTTTCAAAAAGCCTGCAAATGAATTCTAATTGGTTTGTGTTTTCAAAAGTCTGAAATCTGGCATCAAACGATATAGGACTATTCTATTGCTAACTCATGCCTTAGAGCAGAAGATGATGGCCAGCTGAGACAGGAAGGTGTTTCCTATCATTATATAATATTATAAAATTTTATAACGGTTGTATTAATAAAGAACCTACTCAAGCCTATGTCCTAGCATAGGCTCTCGGGACACTGAGCAAACAGTTAAAGTGTAATGCATTTTCATTCAAACAGAAGAATGAAATATTTAAGAATCAAACTAGGAAAGCAGGAACATCGACAAAAGATGCGTTGTCTAACAGAACAGGAATTGAAAGAAAAATGTGCCTAATAAATTTAAGATTATTAGGTGTTTTTGTGACAGGCTAGAAGAGTAGATGGACAATCTCATATTATAGTGGTTTTATGGCTTCCTCCAGCACTGGTCACAGTCAGAGAGATGATTTTGGACTAGCTGGACTAATGTTCTCTTCTGGAAATTCCTACCTTTCTAAAGTTACTAGCTGTCCATTGGGTCATATGAATGCACTTTTGTTGGGCACAGAAGGGATTAATGAGTATAAAGCTATGTCATCAAATCCTTTGGTGGC